GTAGACTAATATTAATAAATCTGATTAATGCCTAAGTCCTTTTTTTTTTTTTTTTTTTTTTTTTTCACATTTTAGAATACATCTTTCCCTAATATGACAATTATTTCTGGGCACAATTTGTCAAGAATACTTAAATATTACATTTCTCTCTCTCATCCTCCCCCTTCTCTCTCTTACTTTCTCTGTCTTTTTCTTTGTAGTTGTGTTGATTTTAACATATATATTTTTTTACAAGAGACACCTGTCAAATTGAAAACCTTTTCTTTCCCTTTTCTCTAATTTTATTCAAACAGTATAGAATACACTAAAGATTTATAGAAATCTTAAGAATTGTGGTGTAAAAAAGATTTTGATTAAAAAAAAAAAAAAAGAAAATAGCTAGAACCTCTGATTTTTAATAGCCTGTTTTTTATAGGAATTCTTGAAAGCAGAAGCTGTCTGAAGTCCTCTACCATTGTCTTGCTGAGCAATAGTGGCATACATGAAATCTGATTGATTAATATGGGACTGTAATTTTAGTCCTGACTTTTTCTGAAAAAACATATATGTGTGCAGAGCCACAGTGAAACTTCTTTTTTATTTATAAAACTATCAAAACATTTTAATAGAAGTAAACACAAATACCTTGTGAGCATGAACTTCTTAAAAAAAAAAAAATTAAAAGAGATTAATGTAGCCCATTGCTAAAAATATTCCCCATAATTCATTGTGTAATGCTTTGTCCAGATTGATTCAAACTGTTTCCAGTGATGAAGATTTCACTTTTTTTTTTTTTTTTTTTTTTCCTTATGAGACTATATAAGGTTAATAGATCCTCTGAGGAATTTGTTTCTGATATTCTGTTCTTGGCCATAATTTTTAATTTTCCTTTGTCTAAATTAAGTTTTTGGAAATCTTAACCATTCTAGAATTAATCAGTAGAACCTTAGCAGTTGACTTTCAAACTTCTGAATGGTTTTATTTTGATGTTATAAAATTAATTATTCCAACTTCACCATATGAGAGCACTACTTAGCACCAATTTTGGTTTATCTTGGTGCCTGCATGGTCTTAATACACAAGCCCTAATACACCTAATAGAATGAATGGTTTTATAGACAGTTGATGATAGCACTTGAAGGATGGTTTACATGTTGTTAATGAAAACACTGGCCAGTAAATAATTCTTCAAGTTACTTAAATCCGGTGACTTTCACAGATGGATTGTTTCTGGGAGTTTTCTTGGAGATGGTGAAGGTGGAACTTGTTTTATTTTGTTCTTCTTCAGGAGGTTAACAGGACTAATATTTGAGTAATTTTTGGTTATTGATTCCATGCAATACACTTCTGATACAATGCATCTTACTTAGCTTTAGCTATTACACTGAATATCTTGCTGGTCATCTAGATTTCCCTATAGTTATTGGTGAAAGTAATTTCTAGGAGCAGTACGTACCTAAAGCTAGATGCCCAAAATGGGATGAATTATCTTGTATGTCTCTATATGCTTATAGAGCAATCTTAGATGATTAACTCAGAGCAGTTGCCTAGCTTTTAGATGGTTATCTGCAGGTGAACTGAAACCTGCCTTAAAACTGGAGGCAGAGAGACACAGTGATTCTGATTCCTAGGAAGGACTGTGTACCCAGAGAAAAACAAAGAGTTTATTTGCTGTTGATAGATTTTTAAAATAGGACTTGTTTCTTAGAGCTGCAGCTATGTGGTGTAAAGAGGTTTGATTAATACATGAGCTCAAATATGTAATATCAATTCCATAGATGTTAAAGTGTAAAAATTTTAAGTATATGACCTCTCACTTCAACTGAGATTAAAAAAGGAAAAAAAAAAAAAGTGTTTAAGGGAGTTAGACATTTATACCTCTCTTTAATCTGTTGTGAAGTGGATGCCTACCTTTCTAAGATTCCTCTAAACCACCCAACCTTAAAATTAAATGCTTGTTTATTATCACAATTTTTCCATAGATATTATCATACATGAAACAATTCTCTCTTTGCTGCCTGTATCTTGGAGTGCTCTGTTACATCTCAACACAAGCATCAGACTTCCATAGTTGATAGAAGGTCGAATTCTTTTAGAGCAGAAGGAAAAGATTTTAAGTCTGAGCTCTGTGGCTGTAAATGATTATCAAGTATTTACATTTGTTCTTTTTCAGCAATGAACTCACTGTAACATGGCACCCAACTGTTTGTATTGCTGCAAAATACAATATGAAGAAAATTGGTCAAATTATTATTGAGTTAAAGGTCATTAATGATTACCATAAATACAGAATTTCTCAGAAGCAGCTCTCATTTTTAAGATGGCAGCTAAAGTGTGGTCATAACTTCTATATTAGAATTTATATCTTGGCTAGCTCAGGATATGCAATATGTTTTGGGGGGCTTTTTGCTATGCAAAAGCAAAAGCAAAAAGTATGACCGGTTCTTACTGTGGTCCAGCCTATAGATAAATTCTTATCAGCATCTTTAAGGAGGTGCTATAATTAATTTCAGGGCAAAAGTCTGACTTTTCTAATGGCAGAGAATTTATGAAAAGGCAGTTTATAGAAGGCATTTTGCCTGACAGTGACATGAAAAATGGAAATGTTGATTCTAGTAGCAGCTGTGTTTAGGAGGAAGCAGATGTCTTACGTAAGTAAAAGCATATGGTCAGTTGTCCTGGACATCTATAGTTGAGATACTAGAACTAGAAAATCCACATGAGTTCTGCAATTGTAAAGATTTATTTGGGTTGAGAAGTATTGGGCTCTGTGAGTGTCACAGTGATTATATGTGTATATATATGAGGTAGATTTGCTGCATGCAAGAGAGATACTGGCTTACAATTTGAGACGAGAAAAGAATAAACCTCAGAATTAAGGCTGCTTCCAAAATATGATGTGCTACATTTAAGAGATTACATATAAGAATGCTGAAATATTTATCTTTACACCTCCTTTTCTTCCTTTTTTTTTTCACTTTTCATTGTTTTTTTTTTATAACTTGAAACACGTTAAAAGTTAAGACAATCTTTTATTCTAATTGAATACATTAAAAATAAGATCTTGTCTGGATTTAAGCTCAAAGCATTAAACTGCACCCTAATTGAAATGGCCAGATTTTAAAAAGTTTGGATACATGTAGCTGAAATCATCAGCTTCTGAAATTCTGACTTGCAAAAGCAGTGACACAACACGGAGTTTGATGTCCCAGATATTCATAATTCTCCTTCTATAATAAAGCGTATCATTTGCATTTCTTAGGCAGCATTTAGGAACTTTCATAAGCCCATCTTTTAATAATACTGCTGAAGAACAGGTCTCTAGTAGGATATAAACACCCAGATTTCCGAATTATCTTCAACTTTGATATGATAACAAATAATTTAGAATTATAAGTATAGGTGCTTTATGCTATATTTTGAAAACAGATGAATAAAAACTGATTCTGTCATGCAGTTTATCAAATTCACTGATAAAATGTCAGATTATTTTTGTAATTACATGTACAATGCTATGTACTCCACAGCTTAAATTCAAAATAGCTTCAAATGTGAACACAATGTGTGTCATAATCATAATTTTTGAACCAAAGGATTTAACTAGAAACAAGAAGAAAGTACAGTGTAAATTGACTTCATACATGCCAAACAGAAGATAATTCTTTATCTTCTATCCCTTCCATAAATTGCACAAGATATCAATGTTGTATAAGAACATCTACTTCATAGGTACCTTGAGAGTGGCATGTGGCTACCTATTTTGTGTTGTAATCAGCAGCGACTTAAATTTCAGGTGTGACTTCATGCATAATTTCCAAGCTCCAATAGTCCAACTATAGAAGCAGTAGCAAATATTTCTAATTATCACCTACCTATAAAACCAAAGCAAAGCTAAAAAAATGGAGTGGGGACTGACAGGGAAAACCAAATATCTAAGAGGCCAGTCACTTGTGTAAACACTTGTTGTGCAACATCAAACCTTACCTTGGGCCTTCTACTTCCTTAATTGAGCACTGCCTGTGTTACTAATACCGATACTCTAGATGTTGTTGCAAAACTCATAGCTGCTGCGAAGCATAATGGTGTGATATGAAGTGATGCAGAAAACAGTAGAAGCTCTGTCAGTAGGTCAGCTGCAAGAAGAGGTGACGTGTGTGAATGTACAGTATATGGAGTTTTGTGAAAGATGCAGTCTCTCTTTCTCCCAAAGAACTTCAACTGATGATACAAGGGGAATTCAGTTCCCTTTGGCAGGACTCCATGTTGGTCTGGATGCTGTAAATACTTCTGCTTCTACAGTTACTTAGCTCATGCTGCTAAAAATACACTCATGACAGACTTAATGAAAGTATCTTCTTTTAAAAACTACTTGTCTTCAACAATCATTTAATGTTCTTGTTTGTATGTGTGGTTCTCATTATTCTGACATAGCTATTAATACTGATGAAAATTAAAGAGAGAAAACCCAAATATTTTCATACTTTCACTTTTCTAGTAGCATTTAAGAAACACCAGAGTTAATCAGCCATTTATTTTCTTGATTTTTTTGTTTATTTTTTTCAATTCAACAGTAATATAGGAATATATGAAATTTTATTACAGTAGTAAGAGCTTCAGAATCCCAGTAGATGGTGTAATTATGATTAAAAATTAGTATTATTGAATAAGTCACTTTTGTAATATGCAAAAGTAATTTTTTCTCTCATTTTCAATAACCATCAGTCTTAATATCTAACTAATGAAAAAACATAAACAGTGTCATCTGGGAGGTTACTAACAGAGAATGTCACTTATTGGAGTCTCATTGTTTACTTTAGCAGGTAATTTGTGGACCGGAATCATTTAATTGTTCTGAGCACATAATTACATGCCCGCATTTTCCAATTTAATTAAAATGTACAAATCTGAAGATTAAGGGAATTTTTGAATTATTAATCATTTCTCCTCTAGGAAATCTTGTTGCTCTGCAGGAGATTTGTCCAGTGTACAACTATACGTATTTTTTTCCTTCTCTTTCACAGACAGACAATTTTCCCGCAGAGCCCAATTACATGGGCAGCAGGCAGCAGTTTGTTCAAAGGTAAGGCCTATTAAATAACTTTCTCAGCTTCCCCATTTGTATTCTTGTCAAAATTGCTTTGCCAGAGAGTACAATTCAACTTAGAACAAGTAAATACAACTCTCTCTCTCTCTCTTTTTTTTTTTTTTTTTTTTTTTTTTTAAATATGTATTTCAGTAGCTCCACGTTCAAGGATCCAGAAAGAGCCAGCTTGAGGGACAGCGGGCATGGGGACAGTGATCAGGCTGACAGTGACCAAGACACTAACAAAGGCTCCTGCTGTGACATGTCTGTTAGGGAGGCACTCAAGATGAAAACTACTTCAACTAAAAGCCAGCCACTTGAACAAGGTGAGTGAAGCCTCCTATGCTTACAAAAGCGCAGAGTTTAAGTCGTTATTATAAACCTATTAGTATTGCAGTTACGGTTTATCAGGGTAGAATAGCCCACTGATAATACTATCAGAGAAAACAGTAAATCTTGTAGCTAGCCCAGAGCAAAGAACGTTTAGTATCTTTCAGAGTGAACATGAAATGAAACCACAAGTATCCAAAGTAGATTTAAAAAAAAAAAAATTAGTACTTTTCTATAATGATTAGAATATACTCTATCTCCACTGGCATTGCCTGTGATATATCATATACAGTCCTTTCACCAAAGCATGATCTGGAAATTCAAACTAGACATGACGGCAGCAGATAAAAGAATGTTAGTCATTCACATTCCTCATGTAGTTTGGAGAAAAGGAAAAGAAAATAAAGAGGTTCAGGCTATCAAGCAAGAATAAAAATGGATCAGAAGATGTTTCATTTCATAGATATGTTTTCCTATTTGTAATATTGATTTCACAATTAATAGTAGTGTGCAAAGTGTCAAATAATAATATAATCTGATTTTCAGTATAATTTCATTCACATCCTGTGAAGGTACCAAAGATGAGTGTCTGTGAAATGGCTAAAATGACTTATATCAGGACAATGACAGTGTTTTCTGCAAGCATTCATTCTGACAAACAAGTATGTTTATTTCCTTAAGTTCTGTGTCCAATTAATTTTTTTCCAGTTATGTTTTATCTAATTATTACATCTTTTCTTTCAAAAAAGACACTTTCTTTCTTTAAAAGCATCAGAGTACTCCAGTCCAGCATTGTGTGTGTTTGTGTTTTGCTTCGAAGTTGTAAGAAATAAGGAAATGTATCACTGATTTTTTTTTTCAATGTTTTGCATGTTTACTATTATTTTAGTTTGTTGTGGGGAATATGATTCAGTGTTAAAGACTATTAAAAGATTATTAAATAAATCATCCTTATTAATAAGCTATTTTTAATATTAAGCAGAAATATATTATAAGGATTTTAATAATGATGATTAATTGGACCTAGGTTTTTTGCCTCTCAGCCTAGACTGATCTGTAGTACAGTCATCAGGAAATACATCTTCAACTTCATTTTTCTGATTAAGTTGAGATTGCAATACAATTTTTGCTGTGTAGAATATTTAGAATGCTGCAGTATAATTTATTCTGTATATATTTGAAGGTAGACCTCATATATGACCTTATTTTCCAAGTAATAAATGCCAGAAAGATTATTTTTTCCTGACCTTTTGCCACAGCAACTCTGTGCTTATAATTGGACATTGATCTGTATAAAGATGCAGTACTGGACATTTTTTTTTTTTTTAAAAAAGCTTCTTGAGTGTGTGTCTAATTTTCTCAATTGTGTGTAAGAAAAAGACAAAAATCTCTGGAATTCTATCTGCCAAGTATAACCATAGAAGAGTTCTAAAATTTTAAAAGTTTAATTAGGAAAACTATTTACTATTCACATTAAAAATATGTGGTTTCTTAGAAAAGGACAGTATGGCCAGAATTTATAATATTACAGTTTGTCCAGCATCATCAAGCCCAATACTAGTCAAAATAGAAAAATTCCAGTAAATAGATTAAGCCAACCATTCCTGTTGCTTATTTTCATTGTAATACAAAGAGTTATATAGAAGTTTGCACTTGTCATTATGTCTAAATGAGGGGTGTATTCATCAAGAAACAACCTATTCCAGTGGCTCATATGAATTCTTCACATTCTTATTAAACATATTGAACTGTGAATATTAAGTACTGTCAGGAACTAAAGTGCAGCAGCAGATGTTTATGTGAATTTTCCTACTGAGAAAAAAAAAAAATAAGGCTAGAGAGATAAACTACATGTTTTCTTTTTTTTTTTTTTTTTTCCTTTTTTTCCCCCCAAAAATATAATTTCAAATGGTAATAATATCCACTTGTTTACTTGTACAAACTTTTCTGTCTCAAGTGTGTTGTAGTGAAATCATTGGCATATTATGAAAACTGAACCTGCAGCAAGCACCTTATGGGGTTACAGATCATTGCAGTAACAAATGTGGTGTTCCCAATGAAATCAACGATTGCTTGTCACTGAGCTTAGTACGATTAGGGCTCTTAGCCCAAAGTAACTTTTCTCTTTTGAAAGAAGATAAACAAAATTGCTATCTCTAGTCACAAGCCAAGTTGAAGGAGGGTGAGAAATACGGTATATGTGATCAGGATAGAAAAAGGATTGAATTTTCTTAAGAGAAAAATTGTTTTCCAGGAAAAGGAAATGGACAGCTTACTAGAAACAGTTGTCTACGGCAGAGCCTGAAGCAGTATCAGAAATTGTGGTTCTGTCATCATTTTGGATTGTGCACAGGGATGGGAATTCACTATTCTGTAGCAAAGTTTCAGGCTTGCTTATTGTTGTTTAAAGATATTGAAAATAGTTTAACTTCTGCTTTTACAACAGTGTTAATTACTGATCTTCTGTCATTTTTGAAAAATGATCAGGAATAACTGTGAATTCAAGATCTTGGCTTGAGATTCCTAATTTAAAAATTAGTTAAGTTTGAGTTTGACATCTTCTGTATGTAATTCCAAACACTATTGTCATGGGTCCAATTCTACCCATGTGAGTAATAAGAATGCTACCAGTACCAGTAGTTTAACTACAGTTTTGAACAACTCTAGCCTAGACATCTTGAAAATTAAATGGTCGTATTGGAACAAAATAATGTCAGTAGCACTACAGCAATTGTGCTTCTATCAGTAAGAGAGAAGTAGGAAAGTTTATTAAAAAATTTTTTTGTAGACAAGACATCATCTGATTTCAGCATGGGATGGGAGTCAATCAAGTTTATTTTATGATTTACATTAAAATAGTGAAAACAGTGGATGTTATAGCTTCAGTAAGATTACTATTAATATATTTGATTTCAAGGAATATACCTCCAGATAGCAGGTTTTGTCTGGTCGTGATTGAAAACATTCACTCAAGTGAGAAAGATAATGCAAATTAGATATCATTATGAAACACGTAGGAAAGTTCATCACTTGGCCTTAATGGAAAGAAAGGGGGAAAAAACCCAATAAATTTAAAGTTACCAGAACAGTAAGTCTTATGTTACAATAAGCATGTCCCTTTTTAGTTATCTCAACCATATATCCTCTTGTTGTGAGTTCCAAGCCACTTTCTGCATAAAAATGTCTAGCTGTCTCTTAAGCTTACTTACGCGATCTGAATCAGCTGTCTCACTAAACAGCTTGCTCCATATGCCTGCTACTCTTTCAATAGAATGGTTTTAGATAAATTTGTTTTGTTTAACTCTTTTATCAGTTCTGTTGCTGAGACTTTAAACCCCATCACTAGTTTGGACAGTTTGAGATCATTCTACTTTGAAATTTTACAAGAATTAATACTTTTGAATTTATCTGTTTGTTCTACCTGAAGTACCATATATTATTCATATTTTATATTTAAATAACAGAACAATTGATTTGTTTTTGTATGGTTTAAGCATAACAGTAATCTATATTTCTTGAAAAGATATCCAAAGGTGAAAATTATATTGTAAACCATAAATTATATCTACAAGGATGAAGTACAATATCAACATGTACATTTTATACTTTTCTTAGTGAATCTTGGATACATTTACCTTATAATCAGTAAAACAATATAGAGTTACAGACTTTTTTGTAGTTACTTATAAATCACTGTCTTTGATAGATTTTCCCAGGAATTTTTCCTTCCTTTTTTTTTTGTGTTTTGCTCTGTGTTTTCTTGCTTTAACATAAATCTACATTTTTATGTTATTGTCAAGAAAATCCAAGGGACTAATTATCTCCAGATTTGGTAGCTTTATTGAGTTTTTGTTTTATCACTGTGCATTACATTATTCTTTTAACACGTTTACTTGCCATTCACATCTGCATGCCATAGAGGGGGCGTTTCTGCGTCTGCTGTTGCCTCGTTAACAGTAGCATGGATCCTAAGAATAAATGAAAAATGGAGGCACCTCCTTGGAGGAAAGATAAAAGGAAACTCTTTAGTGTTGGTGTCAGAGACTCCTGTAGGACATGTATTGCTCACTAGTCTTCTCTGTAGAACAGCACCATTTTAATCTAGGATATAGGTGACTTGTATAAAATGACTGTAATGTATCACCAGGAATAAAAAAAGAGATATTAAATATTACTTAAAAATATAATACTTCCTTCTACAACTTCACATCAAAAATACATTTGCATCACAACTGATGCAGTTCTGCATGCAACAGTTTTAGGAATAAAAACTGTATCAGTGCTATAGAATCTCTGTGAATACTGTTAATCCTTGAGTTTGTCCCCTGAACACATTCACAGAACAAGTCTGTAGTTATTTGTACATTTATATTCTCAATTTCTAAACAAGAATGATGCCTGAAATCAAGTATACTGCATTATCCATCTTCAGCAGAGCAGAAATTATCAGAATTTTTTACCAAGATTTTTTCTGAACTATCCATTGATTTTCTTGCCATAATCTTGCTTGAGTCTGTAGGATAATTAAAATCCATTCTGTTTCACTGAGTGAGAATCAGTCTAGACTGATAAATGCAGAAAGTTCATCAAGCAAATATCTGCTGTCTGACATCATCACCAATGCTTTCCATGCCATTGGGGATGATGGCTTCTTTTATGGGTACATCAGCTTAATGAGATAATGGAAAAAGAAGATTGTGGGAAAATAATTCTTTTCAAAGTTCTCAGAGCTGGTGATGGCCTTCACTGGGAAACTGATGAAGGCTGGGAGTCCATCCCCAGAACTGATGCAACCTATGGAATATTTGTTCAACATTGCTTCCTCCCATAGTTTTTTTCCCCTGGACAGGACCTCTACTATCACATTCTATGTCCAGAATGTAAATATCTGTCAGATTGCACTACTTGTTCTGATGTCACCTAAGAGTATTTATGTCCAGGACCATTGTCCCTTCCAACTGGCTTACTTCTAACATGGTCAGGTAAGATGCTACTG